TAATGTAAATAATCATTTACTGGTGCCTTGAGCAAATGCCTAGTCTTTTACCCAACAAGTAAATTTCCACACTGTTTATAAGCCCCATAGGGATATCGAACTTCATCCTTAGGATAATGCAGATTAGCCACTGAAAGTGCCCAAGGCAAGACCAAGGCCTGGATGCAGAGGGGAACTAGGATGGGAGGGAGGGAGCCTGGAGTCAGGACCCTGCAGCTGGAGGCAGGTACAGTAATGGGGGGAGCGGGAGACTGCGACAATGAGCCTCTGATGGTGACGAGGTGGAGGGCAGAGGAAAAAGCTGCTTAGGAGGCTGAATCCACAGGGCTTAGTCACTGAGGCAGAGGGCAGGGTCAAGGAGATGTTCTGGTCTCATGTTGGTCGGGGTCCCTGAATCTCCTGCCCCCTCCCCTTCAGTGTCTTCTCTGTGCCCCTGGGCATCCCTCTGCACTCCCCTTTGAGTGCAACCACCTCATTTGGGGACTCAGCTCTAGCCTGGAATTCTCATGTTTTGTGCAGTGCTGGGCTCCCGGCCACACTTCAAGCTGCCCAACACTGAACTGATTCTCACAGCAGAAACCATTGATCTCAGTTTAGGATGAGTGGAGACGGCTGTGTTCTCTAGACGAGGGCTTCACCTTCCCATAAACCTAACAGCAGGTTTTGGCCATTCTAAAGGGCCTCAGACCACAGTTCAGACTGGCAACAACCACCGTGGGCTGCTCTGTGCTGTCTTGAGCCAGACATGAAACAGACAAGGCCCCCAGCAGTGAGTGGCCCCCACTCTAGCAGGGTGCATCATTTCCAAAGGCAGAATGAAAGCTGTGCTCCCAGAGCAGCAGCAAAGTGCCTGGAGGGCAGAGAAGGTGGTGGTAAGTGGGGCTGGTGATGTGAGTGGAACCCAGAACAGCAGCACTGGGAGGGACCTGAGGCAGGGAAGGTGTGTTGGAGAAGGTAATGTCAATAACAGAACCTTCCTCAGTCACCTGGCAACTCTCCGACTTTGGGCAAGTTACTTAACCTCTCTCAGGCTTAGTATCTCATCCACAGAAGGGGGCCCGCGATCATAGGACTGTGATGGGTATCAAATGAGAATGTATTTAGAGCACTTAGCACAATCACTGGCATACAGTAAACACTTTGCATTCCTTGTTTAGCATTTCTACCACAGACCTGTAATTATATATTAACCATTTTTTTCCAAAATCCCTATCTTTCCTACATGATCTTGCATATGGGTGTTTTGTTGAGTGGAAATACACTTTTTGTGAGTGCCATCAACAGCTGAGCTTTGCTGAAAAGACTCGGGGGGGGGGACTTAAATTATTCTGGTAGGATGGAGGTCAAGCTGGTCTCACTTCTGCTGCCAGGAAGCGTGGAGGGGGAAGCAAATTTGGGTGATAACACTATCCTCCACAAAGTTCTGGCACCTTAAAGTTACCCAATTCCATGGAGAATAGATTGAGCACTTCCTTCAGAATCTATCAGGCTGCAAATGCCTTTTAATCTGGCTATTTGGTCTCAAAACAGCTTTGGCAAACATGCATTGATCTTACCAAATTCCCATCATAAGAGTATGGCCTAATGATCAAGAACACAGGTGGCCTGAGTTTGAGTACTTCTTACCTCTCAAATTTTGTCCTTTTTCCTATTGTTAGAAATAGTTAATATCTGGCTGTTCTAACCATTAAAAAGCCAGCTACAGCCGGAGGAAACAGAAGTGCCAGACTTCATTAGGGAGTCGATGATTGGTTGGATTCAAGGTCCCCTTCTGCCATTTACTGAATGGGACCTTGAATCCAACCAATCGTGATCTCAAGGAAGTCACTTTTTCACCCACTTTCCTATCCCAGTTTCTCCATTTGTCAAAGAAAGGAGCTAGATTTGACAACCAATTTTGCTTCCATCTCTGAAATTCTGTCGTTTAACCAGAAATTTCAGCCTGTTGTGGGAAATTGGCCCCATTCTCTCAAACTCCATGATCTTTGGATTTCTAATATAAAAATCTTACCTATTGGCATTTGTTTAACCATGTAAGTGGGACAGATACCCTATGTTAACAACACCCTGTTTCTTTGTTGCCTTTTTTTTTTTTTTTTTTGTCCTTTTTGAGGCCGGCCACACTGCGCTCAGCCAGTGAGTGCTGTGAGCGCACCGGTCATCCTCATATAGGATCCGAACCCGCGGCGGGAGCGCTAGCTGCGCTCCCAGCGCCGCACTCTCCTGAGTGCGCCATGGGCTCGGCCCTTTTGTTGCCTTGTTAACTTTAATAAGGATAATATAAAGAAGAAATCTATTAATGAGCCATATAAATTATCCATCAAGGTATTTTTTTTTTTTTTTTTGTCTTTTTTGTCTTTTTTCCGTGTCCGGCAACGGATCGCAACCCTCAGTGTTGCCCCCGTACCGGACCGGGGACCGGCAACGGGATTGCAAACCTCGGTGTTGCTCCCGCGCCTCGCTCAGCCAGTGAGCGGGAACCGGTCTGTATGTGGGATCCGAACCCTCGGACGGGAGCGCCGCCACGCTTCCCAAGCGGCGCACTATCCAGTGCGCCACTGGGCCGGCCCCATCAAGGTATTTTGATTTGAATAATGCATTTAAGTACCTACAACACTATTATACCCCAGGGTAACATTTATGTATAAGGTAATGGTTGAGAAGAAAATCAGGAAATACAAAACACTTGTTACTGCAAGCAATTTTAATACAAAAGTGTGTCTTGTTTTTTAAACAGTTCATTGGTAGAGCTTCAGTTTCTGCCTCAATTAAAACCAACTGAGATAATCACACAGCAACATGGTCGGAGCTGCAGAGGAACAGCAGCTAAAAAAACAGGAGCCCCAGACAGCCCCTCTTCATGGTCACTTGGTCAGTTGACTTTATTACACACAAAAAAAGACGGAAGCAAACGGGACTGGTTAACAGGTGTGCTGGTGAACTCCGTTAAAGGATGAGCAAGTGTTTGTCTTATGTCCACATTTTCAGAATAGGCTCGTGGAATTAAATCCTCAGTTTGAGTTGATTGACCATTTAAATAAATAGCAAAAAATGCAGGTAATTTCACAATGCCACCAAGGAGTCTCCCTTGCCAAGGGTCTGGGTCCCTGTGAGCACAGGAATTATTGGTGGCTAGGCTGGACAGGAAGTTACAAATCAGTTCAAAATCCCAATATTCTGACGTTTTCTGAAGTTACATTTACCCCTGAATTCTAGCAGCTATTTCTCCTTTAAACACCCAGTACTGAAACAGTATTCAATGACAATATTGCAATGAACTCCTTTTGCTGTATCATGTGCAAATGTTACTTAGATGAGGTTCCCTCTCTTCAGGTAAAATCACACATTAAAACAATGGAAAAAGCAATTATAAGTGCCCTCCCCTCAGTTCTTGCTAATTGAGGTGTCTGTGACTTACAAAAAAAGAGTTCCTTAAACACTGCAGGATTCTTAATTTCTTTTTTTAATATAATTTATCTTGCTGAGACAGCAAGTCAAGTTTATAAAGAAGATGCATTTAGGAATAATCCTAAAAGATAAAGCAGGTTTACAACCCTGCACCGCGCAGAAACCCTAGTTAGAGGTTTTTTTCTTTTTAATACACATTTGTATCTTGACCTTTTCACTTGTTTTTCTCAAATATTTCATGTCTGGACCCCATTCATTACAGGGTTACCAGGAGGCAAATTTTATCTACATAAATATTCACATGAAAATCGTAACTTACAAAAAGAAAAAAATAATAAGGCAGCTTCATAACACAATTATTCTTTTACACTTTTAACAATATAACTTCTCCCATTCAGAATAAATATACACCCAATGTATGGAGCAGGGTTCAAAGTGGATAGTGGCTTAGGGTGCTTGTACAGTGTTATCGCTTGGGACCCGGAGTCCTGGGGGAGGCAGTGGTGGTCTTCTTAGACATGGTCGGGATTTTGGAAGGCTTGTTTAGCCCTCTCCTGGAGCTGCCCTGGCCCCCAGCAGCACTGCTTTCTGAAGTGTCTGAACAAGCAGACTGTGTCTCTAAAAGGTCAAAATCAGAGGCGTCACTTCCTCGCCGGCTGCTAGCTCGACTCCCTGCTCGACTCCCAGCCCGACTCCCA